CACACACACACACTGGTCACCCTTTTCTATGATAGCTTTCCCATCCCCTTTCCCTTTATGGCCCTATCCTGCTTTATTTTCTTGCCACTATCTAAAATTGTCTTGCTTATTCACATGTTTAGCTGTGCCAGCTTCCTCTCTAGAATGTAAGCTCCATGAGGAAGTGCCAGAAGCCGGTCCATCCTTGCTGCTTGACACAGTCGCTGCAGGGAAGAAACATCTGCACAGCATATGTTTCAAGGGACCTGGAGTATATGGCATACTGTTCTTAATATGTTTGCTCACCTTCTTGGCGCTATGTGTTTTAACCAAGGTCACCTCTCCGAGAAAGGTTATTTCCCCAGGCAGGGATTTTTCCCTGAAGTTAGGGAGGGAATAAAACCCCTTAACTAAATGCCAGGTGAGTAGTTAATCACTTTAACTACGAACAATCACCCTTAAGCTACATAATCTTTACTCCCTGGAATGGAGATAAGAAACGCCCTAACCTTTGGAATAGAAATTGACAGGATTAAAATCAACTGGTATAAATGCAGATGTAACAAGACAATAAAAGACAGAACTTGGCTAGAGATCCTGGCTAGGCTGCTGATCAACTGAACGCTGTCTCTGTGTCATTCCTTCTTCGCCGACTCCGTTCACACCTTTGGGAACCCCTGCACCTGTTGGGGTTGGACCCCGACATATGGCTCCCGAACAGGATTCCCCTAGGTCCAAAGTGGAAAAGCAGCTACAGGTCATCGCGGTGCTACAATATGTCCTGACCTTCCTCGTGCTGGGAGTAGCCTGCAGCATCATCCTCGTGTACATGTTGTGCACCGACTGCTGGCTCATCGCTGTGCTCTACTTCACCTGGCTGGTGTTTGACTGGAACACGCCCAAGAAAGGTGGCAGGAGGTCACAGTGGGTCCGAAATTGGGCTGTGTGGCGCTACTTTCGAGACTACTTTCCCATCTGGCTGGTGAAGACTCACAACCTGCTGACCCCCAGGAACTACATCTTGGGATACCACCCCCATGGCATCATGGCTGCGGGTGCCTTCTGCAACTTCAGCACAGCGGCCACGGAAGTGAGCAAGAAGTTCCCCGGCATAAGGCCCCACCTGGCCACGCTGGCCGGCAACTTTCGAGTGCCAGTGCTGAGGGAGTACCTGATGTCCGGAGGCTTCTGCCCGGTGAACCGGGGCACCATATATTACTTGCTTTCAAAGAACGGGAGTGGCAATGCCATCATCATCGCACTGGGGGGCGCAGCCGAGTCCCTGAGCTCCGTGCCCGGCAAGAATGTGGTCATCCTGCGCAACCGCAAGGGCTTTGTGAAAATGGCCCTGCGACATGGAGCCGACCTTGTTCCCACCTTCTCGTTCGGAGAGAATGAGGTCTACAAGCAAGTGATCTTTGAGGAGGGCTCCTGGGGCCGATGGGTCCAGAACAAGTTCCAGAAGCCCATTGGCTTCGCCCCGTGCATCTTCCATGGCCGAGGCCTCTTCTCCTCTGACACCTGGAGGCTGCTGCCTTACTCCAAGCCCATCGCCACTGTCGTGGGTGAGCCCATCACCCTTCCCAAGCTGGAGCACCCGACCCAGCGGGACGTCGACCTGTACCACGCCATGTACATGGAGGCCCTGGTGAAGCTCTTCGACAAGCACAAGACCAGCTTCGGCCTGCCAGAGACGGAGGTCCTGGAGGTGAACTGTGCCAGCCCTCAGCCAGGTGCCGGGAGGACCCCGCTCCACCGCAAGCTGTTTTCCGCCAAGTTCTCGAGTGCTTTTTGTTCTGTACATTTGGAAGTGTCATGGGTGTCTGTGGGTTCTTTAAAATAAATTTTTTTATGCTAAAAAGTATTTATTATTTCTCTGTAATTCAAATTTTTTTATTTAATTAAATCTTTATTGTTCAGATTTAAAAAAAAAAAAAGAAAGAAAGAAAGAAAGCTTTGAGTCAGGAAAGAATGGGTAAAGTCACCATCCTGGTGAGGAAGAAAGAAAGAAAGAAAGAAAGAAAGAAAGCAAGCTTTGAGTCAGGAAAGAATGGGTAAAGTCACCAGAAGTGATGCCTTGCAAACACATCACAATCAGCCATGCTCCACACCCCCACTCACGGAGCTTGCCTTACTTGAAAATCCCCCCAGTCCTGTATGTGTGTGGGTGACCGGCAGCCCGGCACCCTTCCTCAAATCACAACCCCCGCCCCCCCACCATCACCACCTCTGGTGAGCCCTTTCCAGTTCTTTCTCTGCCTTCCCACCACCCTCTTAGCCTCTTCCATGCAGTTTTGCCTGTGAGAATTTCTAACTGGCTCATTTTATTCACCATTATCTTATTATTCGTTCCTGTAGTAATTTAACAATTCCCTAGAGACAGGGCATGTGTTTTAAGCTAATTCTGTGTCCCAGCTCACTACACCTTTCTCAGCACAATCCATTATTCAGTAAATATGGGAATGTAGGCCCGTGGGAATGAGGTCTTTGTGTTTTGTTCTCTGGTGTCTCCCAAGTGCCTAGAACTGGAACATAGTCAATCAAAGCCTATTTGAATACATTTGTTGATTAACCCAATGTTTTCTCCACTTGAAAAACTGCTGCTTTCAGAGCAGGGTCTGGGGAAGGGAGGGTCTTCCAGCACCTAGCCCCAGTGCCTGGCATGTGAATTCACTCAGCAAGTTTATTTAAAAAAAAAAATTTTTTTTTTTAATTGTACCGCACTTGGAAAAAAAAAAGACAACTAAATTTAACCAGGAGAATGTCTCCAACTTTCCACCACTCTTAAAAATTTTCTAAAAGGTGGTCAATGGCCTTATTCATACTCAGGAAGCAGAACTGAGGAAGGAGGTAAGCTCAGAGTGAAGAGTCTGTTTAAACTAGCTACTTACATGCCAAGTGCGGTGTTTATTTTGCCTGGATTTAAATCACTGGCCTAACAGGGTTATCCTTTTTCCAATTGCTAGATGAAACGTACCTAAGGCCAAGAAAAGTATGTAATTTCTTTTTCAAAGGGATTCAAACTGAGCAATTTGGGGACTGTCTACAGTTCAAGTAAAAGAAATAAGAAAATGTGGTTTCTTCTCACAGATTTTGTAAAGTAGCTTGGGAGCATTCCTAGGTACTTTGTTGTAGAACAATTCTACCTTTTAAATTGCTTTCCTTGAAAACACACGAGGCCCTTGCCAAGTAGCTCAGTTAGTTAGAGCATAGTCCTGATATGCCAAGGTTGAGGGTTCGATCCCCAGTCAGGGCACATACAAGAAACGCCAAGGTTGAGGGTTCGATCCCCAGTCAGGGCACATAAAAGAAATAATCAATGGCCCGGCCAGCGTAGCTCAGTGGTTATGCGTGGACCTATGAACCAGGAGGTCACAATTCCATTCCCAGTCAGGGCACATGCCCGGGTTGCAGGCTCTTTCCCCAGTGTGGTGCATGGAGGAGGCAGGCGATTAATGATTCTCTCTCTCTCTCTCCCTCTCTCTCTTCCACTCTGAACTCAATAAAAATATATTGGGAAAAGAAACAACTAATGAATCCATAAATAAGTGGAACAATGAATTGACATTTCTCTCTCTCTCTCTCTCTCTCTCTCTAAATCTATTATAATAAAAGCGTAATATGCTAATTAGACGGATGACCTTCTGGATGAAGCCAGAGCTTCGTGAATCAGGCCTCTAGTTAATGCATAAAAAAACAAAACAAAAAAACTTGCCTATCTATTATGTATTCATTCAGCAGATAGGAATTGAAGCACTTAGCCCTGACATAGAGATAGAGCCGTGAAAAAGACAGCCAACAAAATAAACAAGCAAAATACACAGTGTCCTAAATGATTAAGAGTTAAATGGACAAAAATAGAGCAGGGAGGTAGATAGAGAATGAGGTCTGAGAGTGGATGCAGGAGGTTCAACAAAATCCTCAGGACTCCTTCCAGCTGCCAGCGGGCTCTGCCAGCCAAGAGGTGACTCTCATCCTCATGGTCCTGGTTAGAGCTCCAGCCATCACACCATATTCCAAGCAGCAGGAGTAAGAAGAGTGGACAGAGGGCAACCTGTTGGCACATGACACTTTTGCTTACATACCATTGGCCAGAAGTTAGTCATCTGACCCTACCTAACTGTAAGGAAGATTGTGAAACGTAGTCTTTAATCTGAGTCATTCTGTACCCAGATAAAAAATCTCTAATTACGAAAAGAGGAGGAGGGATACATGTAACAAATTCAATTGATACTGTTCAAAATACATGAATGCCAAAAATATTTTCTCCCGGCAATAAGTCTGAATTATGTGCCAAATCTAACTGATAATCTCACTGGGTTCAGCAGACACATGTGTTGGTGGTAATAACATCTGCAAGGGTCACTACAGAGAAGAATAGCAGTGTGTGGTGTGCGTGTGTGTGTGTGTCTGTGTGTGTTATTTATCCTGCTTGCCCAACACCCTGTCAACATTGGGTGATAAAGTTTGATCTTTACTCATGCAGTGGGTGGAAATATATCTCATTTTCATTTGCATTTCTTTAATCATCAGTAAGATCAATTTTTTTTTTAATCTATTGGTCATTAGTGGTTTGCTGTTGTAGTTAATTGCCTATTTATAACCTATACACATTTTAAAATTAGGGTCTACTATAGGTTTGACATTCTTCAAAATAAGAAATTGGGAATCATATGTAAATAAATTTCAAACATATATAAATATAAAACATGTAAATTATAAACACTTGTAAATAAGTTCCTTTGCTATATAATATGTAAAAGCTTAGATGTATATACTAGAGGCCTGGTGCATGAAATTCATGCAAAGGTAGGGTCCCTAGGCCTGGCCAGTGATTAGGACCCATCTGTAGGGCGACCGACGGAGCGATGGGGAGCGCCCACTGGCACCCACCTCAGCTGGCCTGGGGCTTGCGGGCTGGGGGTAGCTCCTGCGTTGAGCATCTGCCCCCTGGTGGTGAGTGCACATCATAGCAACCGGTCATTCTGCTGTTTGGTTGGTTTGCATATTAGGCTTTTATTATATAGGATTTGTTCATGTAAGTATGTCAACCTTGTTTATGATTTTTATTTTTTATCACACAAACATTTTGTGTTTGCATCTAACCAAATGTACCAACTTTTTCTGCATAGTTTTTGGTCATTTCAATATCCATCTTGGTCCCCTCCCTCAGTTTCCTGCTAAAGGCCTGGGCTCAGCTGGGTGAAAGGAAAGAGCATGAGAAGATCTGGATTTCCAATCAAGATTGGCCACTTTTTAGTAAGCAACTCTGGGCAAATGCCCCTAATGGTCCTGCACTTGTTTCCTCATTTATCAACACCGGATGGTACTGCTCCATCAGTGTTGTTGTGAGTGTGTGACCCTTTACACAGGGAGTGCACAATACATGTCAGCTCCCTTATTTCCTCCTCTGTGGGGAGCCTCCTACCCACCCTCCCCTCCTGCCCCAATTCTACTAGCATCCCCTCTGCCAGCAGGGTCCATACTCAATAGGATGAATCAGGCCCTCGGGAACGACAAAGTACCCCAGCTTGAGCAGGATATACTAGGTACTTATTGAGTCTGTTTTACTTTTCAATTTCAGATACCCACCCCCCTCCTGAGTTTCTGCTCTTTCTCTTAGACCTTCTTTCATCCTCTTCCTTCCCACCATGGAGCTAATGAGCAGGGTCTGGATTCTCTACAACAATCCAGAACTGGGACATCGGTGCCCCTGGGTCCTTTGTGGGATTGCTGAGTGAACAGAAAGACTATTAGGCACAGACATCCGACACATAGATTGGGGGTTGGGAGGAGAATCTAGTTGTTTGGAAACTCCTTTCCCTGCTTCAAAAGGCATAACACAATATCGAAAGCTATAATGAGGTAACAACTGCAGTACCGGCTGCTATTTTATATCAACAATCTGCCAAGACCATTTCCTCTTAGATTTCAGAATGTATTTTTATTTCATGCCTTCCACCAGCTCATCCTCTATTTATTATAAAAATTACCCTAACACTTCAAAGAAAATTTAATGGAGTTTTAAAAATATGGAAACAAAATCAATACAAAGTTCAAAAATGGTAGATTTCTGATGAAAGGAATCTTCTAAAATGAAATAAAAATGTGTGGTGCTATTCAGTCCAGGAAGGGAGCTTTCAGATCCTGTCTTGTTCACCATCAGCCCATCTTCTGCTCATCTACCCTCTGCACCATCTGCTATCACTAACCCTGAACCATACACGCTTCAGGCAAAGTTTAGGACTATTCCTGCCCATGAGTCACATGACTGGTCTAGGATCAGTACTATACCACCTTCCATGATGGTATCTTCCGGGTAATCCCATTCTTTTTTTCTTTTCATCCCATTCTATCCCTAGTTCAGCTCGATCCACTTCTGGGTAATTCCATAGGTAAAGCCCATACTGTGGGTCATCCATTCTGTCCTAACAGCAGTTTAAGCATTACTAGTCACCCTTCTTTGTCTCAAGATGGATGCTGGTCTTTATATTTCTTTCCCCATGTTCCTTGGGGACAAGGACACAGACCACTTTTTCCCTGGTGTATTCGTTTGCTCAGGCTGCTATAACAAGTACCACAGACTGGGCAGCTTAACCAACAGGAATTTATTTATTCATAGTTCTGAAGGCTGGAAGTCCAAGATCAAGGCAGGCCTGGCTCCTTGAGGTGTTGCTGGTGCTACTGTTCGGTAGGGGACCCCACAGCCAGCTGCCCCATCTCTAGATCTCTAGCCGGCAGCATTCCTCGTTGGGGTTGTTAATGTAAAAAAACCATTGAAACCTGTAAAGAATTTTTGTGAGTTTATTTGAGCCAAACTGTCGACATATGCCGGGAAGCAGA